CACATAAACCATGCTTTAGTCAACAATCAAAACCCAGAAACGAAACCCAAATCCAAAAATCAACAAAACGAATAGGGGAAGATAGTTGCAAGCTATATAAAGGGACTCACTGAGATGCCATTGCACAAAGGCGGCAGGTTTAGAACAAATGGGTTGATGGGGAAAGCCAATGTAATATAGGAACCACCCAGTTCTCTCCAATCGACACTGAATCGATGCTCAACCTGGACAATGCCCGCCCATGGATGTTTTCTCCTATTCACCTTCAAGTAACACGCAAAAGAGGCTGAGAGATCCCAATCGCAAAATAAGGATGATAAGATGCACCATACGAGATCGACCAAGAACATAAATTGAAACGGGAATCGGCAGTGACAGGAAGTATGGACGCGGAAATTGAAACGAGAATCGTGGATTCCTTACCTGATCAGGGAAACTGAGAGATAGAGGAGAAGGAAGCTCGATGAATTGAAGGCCCGGGGAAGCATAGAAACAGAGACCGATTGCGGCAGGGAATTTAAAGAAGCTACGTCAAGAGAAGGAGAAGAAGACGAAGTCGAGCGGGAGAGAGGGAGAAGTAGAGTTGGAAGACGGACAGCTGAACTGAGTTTTCACGATCGACCAAGAACAGAAAGAGGTCTAGGGCTTTCGAAAGGGGTCTGGGACTTTAGAGTTCAGAGCAACGAGAAAAGGAGAGGTGCGGGCGAAAGCGTTTCGTTCGAAGGAGTCTTGAGTGTTTCGTTCAGATTATTGGTTTCTTATTGGTTTCTATTGGTTTTTTTATTTTAACCGAACCAAAACCATTAAGATGTCCAATTGGTTTAAAACCAAAAAACTGAAACCATTAGCTTTCTAATTGGTTTGGTTTCGGTTAAAATTGAAAAACCTAAACCAAATTGACAGCCCTAGTACCAAGATCTACGCTTTTCTCATCAATTTAGGGCCGATCCAAATAAGATTCTGGTGGTCGACGACGGAGAGAGACGTAGATCGACGCTTTTCCCGAAAAACCCGGTGGCCGTCCTAGCTCAAGAGTAGAGGGAGGGCAAGGCATACTAGATCTCCTGAGGTAGCACACCAGCTGGAGAAGAGGTTGGTATGGATGGTGGTTCGAACGGCAGCGATGAGGATGCATCGGAGAAGGTCGTCTAGCCGAGCTGATTGTAAGTTTCGCTTGTCGCTGTCGCGGATAGAGAAGAGACGAGTGGGGAAGAGGGATTGAAGTGCTCAGCGGCTAGGGTTCCTCCTCGTCGCTAGGGAGAGGAAGAAAGGGGGAAAGGTAGATCGGGATTCTTCCTTTATTTGGGTCGGATTTTCAGAGAGAGAAAAGGAGAGAGGAGAAGAAGGTTGAATATTAGAGCGGCTAGGGTTTTTAACTCACTAAGTTGATTTATATACTAGCTCTTTTGTTTGGACTTCTTCACCCCTTTACATTTTCGCATAATTACATATCACTAAGTTGATTTATATACTAGCTCTTTTGGTTGGAGTTTGGACCTTTTCAACCCACAGATCATGCCACCGTGTTTTTCAAATTTACGAGAATGCCTTTGCGTCTCTCATATAGAAAGAGAAACGCTAAAGCAAGGTTTCGAACCAACGACCTCATCCTCACCTCATTACAATTTAGTTAACATATAGACCAGTTAGTCTATCACCCATGATTTGTTATTTCAATGTATCCTCTTATATTTATATTTTAAATATTCTGAATACAAAATTCGAAAAGCGAATGAACCCTTATGATAGATTAATTCGTTCCATCAATACAAAATCTCAAAATAACCAAGAACATCATCCGCACATTCTGCGATGATAGACAATCGTCGTAGAAAGTATCAAACATTCTGCGACGAAAGACAATCGTCGCAAAAAGTCAATAAACATTCTACGACGCCAGATAATCGTCGTACAAAGTCTCCAAACATTCTGCGATGACATACAATCGTCTCGCAAAGTGCTCAAATTTTGCGACGGTTGACAGTCGTCGTAGAAAGTCTATATACATTCTGCGACGATAAGCAATCGTCGCTGGAAGTCGCAATCCATTATGCGACGGCAAACAATCGTCGCAGAAAGCCTCTATCCATTTTGCGTCGAAGGAGAACCGTCACAAAAAGACTTCATACATTCTGTGACGAATAACATCCGTCGCAAAAAGACTTCGCACAATCTGCAACGAAAAAGTAAAATTTGTTGCGAATTGTACAATTTCTGCGACGAATTTCTTCTCATCGCGATAGAATTCGTCGCAGAAAGTGCAGTTTTTTATAGTGATTTGTGCAAAAAAGCCATAGACTAAAACCTAGCGAACATAACTACACACAAAGGCGATGATTTGTGCAAAAGGCCATAGACGAAAACCTAGTGAACAATAACTAACACAAAGACGATGATTTGTGCAAAAAGCCATAAACGAAAACCTAGCGAACAATGACAAAACACAAAGGGGTCGTTTGGATTAGAGTTTTGGCTGAGGGATTTCACCCAAATCTCTCATTCTCCAGGATTTTAATACAATAACTCGTTTGGAAGAGATGAGGAATTATAAGATTAGAGATTTTAAAAACTCTCAATCAAGGGTTTTTGAAATAGCTGATGGCTATCAGCTATTTCCAAATCACTCATTTTTATTCCATTTTTTCCAACTCTTACCCTCGTTCAACCATTCTCGTCGACCACCAACAGTTCTCATCGATTGCCGTAGTCTGTCAAATCTGTCCCTTACTCCGGCCACGTCTTTCCGGTCAAATTGCATCGTCATATGAGAAGGCAACATAGCCGCCGATGTCAAGAAGGTAGCAGCAGGCGCTTGTGTGGGAGGAAATTGACACAACTGAAACGAAATCGAACAAACAAAATTGGATGTCGGCTGCGGAGGAAATCTGGATCTGGTCGTCGTCGACCCTTCCTTCTCGAGGATGCCAACGGTTCAACGAACCCTTACTTCTTTCCGAGCAAAAGCTCTGCTCGCCTCACCTTCCTTCTTCCCGGCGTCGCTCAGTCCCCCCTCGTCTCTCCACTCTCACAGGCCCATATGCTCCGTCGTTGCCTCACCTCCCTCTCTGAAGCGCAGATACCGACAGCCCATCAGAAGACGAATCGGCGGCGTCCAGGAACATCATCTGTCTGACTAGAACCAGTCCGAGAATCCAGAGCCACAATCATCGCCAATCATATCCAATCGAGCTGTGGGAATCACCGGCAATTTCTAAGCTCCTGCAACTCTGGCCTTTGATGATTCCTGGGTGAAGGAACGAGGATGGGTTGAAGGAACGAAGAAGAAGAGAAGGATAAAGGTGTAATTGGACAAAATTGGATTAAAATCTCTAATCCGTTCCCAAACAAAGAATTGAGTTAAATCCTGCGTTTGAAATTCCTAGGTTTTTATTCGAGAGATTTGACCATCAAATCCCTCATTTTAAAATTACTGATCCAAACGGGGCCAAAGGCGATGATTTGTGCAAAAAGCCATAGACGAAAACCTAGCGAACAATAACTAAACACAAAAGTTGTAGAATAGAGAGTGGGGTAAAAGAAAGACTTGAAACTTCCCCACTTGCACTTGGATGAGTGTGAGAGCCACTAATTAATAGTAACTCACAACCTAGGCTTTTATATATTAAATTATTATTATTATTAATTAATTATTATTAATTATTATTATTATATTATTATTATATATTGTATATTAATTAATATTATTAATATATTAATTTTAAGTGATTCAACCGTTGAAAATACTTGTTGTACTTTATCAAATGAGAAACGTTGATTGTTATTTGAGTTTAGAAACTTGGGACTGTGGTTTCTCTATCAAAGGTTAGAGTACATTATTATGTCCTAAATTTGGTTTAATTTTTGGTTTATATCGCAAAATCTCATTGAAGGTATCAGCGTATCGTATACTCGTGAATTACATAAGGCGGATCCATATAAATAAATATTTAATTGTGGTTAGAGTATAGTATCATAGACCAAAATCTGATTAATTTTAGCGAGTAATTTTTACTAAGGGTATGCGATATACTAAATTTATCTTAGGTACGATGGAAGCCACCATGTGTATTATATACATATATATAGTGACTTTTATCATAGCTCAGGTAACTTACATAGTTTTGTAGGTTTGTATATCTAGTTTTGTACCAATAATTTTTGAATAGTGAGTGTAGAAAATAAAAATTATCTATATTATGTGAACCAATTTGGGGGTGAAAATAAAGAACAGTAGCTCGATCCACCCGAATCAATTCACCTATATTTGTCGCTAAAATTAATATTTAAGGTTGTGTGGGAGCTTTCTTTTGTGGAACTATCTTTTTTTAGTTGAGTCCAGGTTTTGGCTTACACAACGTAGATACCTGACCCAACCTATGTTACAACTATTTTAGTAAGTGTTTATATCCAAAAACATATTTTTGTCATTTACAAACTTATTTATGAGGATGTTGTAGTTTTGTTCATATTTTCCACTTATGGTTTTGCTAAGCTAATGCATTCTTCAACTCAAAATTTAGGGCTCGTTTGGAGGTTGAAATGCTCCAAATTGATGCATTAATCAATTTGTGTATTGTAATTTGATGCATTGATTAAATGCATGAGATTGATAATCACCTATAGTTGGTGTGCTGGTGTACAAGCTCTTATTCGCACTGTCTCCACTCTTGTGTACAATTTTAGAGCCATAACATATTGTGGATGCATTAGCTTGTAATGAATAACTTCTTTATCTTATTTCCTACAACTATATGCCATAATGACTAATAAAGTTTATAGATTATCCATACTATTATATTGTCATAAAATTAATAATATGAGTTTATTATTCATATTATTAGGGACATATACAAAACAAGATCATTTTTGTTTTTTTTTGGATATGAGTTGATGGTTGAACGGGTTGAGTTTAGCCGTTTAGATAAAATCAGCACTCCGACCCAAAACATGTCAACATTAAATTTTAATCAGTTTGACCAAATCAAACTGGATTGAGTACCCATTGACCCACATACCGAGTTCAATCGCCACTCCCTACTAACATGTGGTACGAACTAGATCCATGACCTCACATTGCTGATAGCAATCAAGCTTCCTTGTCAACTTAGTAGTGAGTGTGAAAACAGGGGAGAGAAACCAATACACCCCAGCCAGTTGTATTTGCCGCCCCTGCTTTTGTTTCCTCTGCCGCTCGTTGCCTGATTCCACCTCCGAAACAGAGTATGACAACCCAAATCGAATTGCTTGGCTCTGATTTCGATCGGAAAGCTGCTCTGCAGTCCTTTGACGACTCAAGATCCGGCGTAAAGGGCCTCGTAGAGGCCGGCGTCACGAAAATCCCGTCGATATTCCTCCACTCACAACACAACGCAGTGTCCACCAAGTCAACCACAGGGGAGACTTCCCCAGTCATCCCGACCGTTGACTTGCAAGGCATCGACGTTGACCCAGATCTACGCCGCCAGGTGATCTGGCAGGTAAGAGACGCCTGCCGGAGATGTGGGTTCTTCCAGGTGATCAATCACGGGATACCCTCTCTGCTTCTTGATAAGATAATTCAAGGAGTGAAGGATTTCCACGAACAAGATACTGAAGTGAGGAAATGGTTCTACACCAGGGACTTCGCCAACAAAACGGTGACGTACAACTGCAATTTCGATTTCTATCAGTCGCCGGCGGCCAACTGGAGGGATACCATCAGTTGCGTCACTGCCCCTCGCCCACCAAACCCTCAAGAACTCCCTCCAGTGTGCGGGTACGTTTTTATTATTATTATCTTCTGTCAAAATTCTGGTTGTGAGTGGTTCGATTCTAGGACTGATTGATATGATCAATCTTCTGCGCAGGGAGATAATGGTTGATTACTCTAACCAAGTGATGGGATTGGCAAGGAAGCTGTTTGAATTGGTTTCTGCAGCATTGGGATTGAGCCCAGATTACCTTAACAACATAGGTTGCTCAGAAGGGCTGATGCTTCTGGGTCATTACTACCCAGCTTGTCCTGAACCAGACTTGACAATGGGAACCAGCAGTCATACAGACAGCAGCTTTCTTACTGTGCTTCTGCAAGACCAAATGGGAGGTCTCCAGGTCCTTTGTGATGATCAGTGGGTTGATGTAAAGCCCACAACAGATGCTCTTGTTATCAACCTGGGAGACATGTTGCAGGTACAAAACTGGATCGGAGTTTGAGAATCATGTTATGGAGTCTTTAGTCAAATAAGTTATGGTTCTGAATCTCAGTTTTTGGTGTGCAATGTGTGTTGCAGTTGATCTCTAATGACGAATTCAAAAGCTCCCAACACAGAGTACTTGCTAAATCAATAGGCCCCAGGGTTTCAGTGGCTTGTTTCTTCAGACAGCAGCTGCATCCTGAGAACTCCCGAGTTTATGGCCCGATTAAGGAGCTTATATCGGACGGGAATCCCCCGGTTTTCAGGGAAACCACCGTGAAGGAGTTTGTTGACCATTACTATGCAAAAGGGCTTAATGGGATCTCTGCCGTGGAGCATTTTAGGGTCTGAATTCTTGAAACCTGGCAGAGAACAATCATTTGATACGAGAATAAATTTGCTATCTTTCTAGAGCTGAATGTTTGGATAGAAATGAAGCCTGCTTTGTGCGTAAATTGTTTAGCTTTCCACTTTCTTTTTCTATGATCTCTGATTCTCTATGATGCTAATGGCCAAGTAAACTTTCTATATCGTTTGATAAATCCTGTATTCTCAGCTTGCAATCTGTACAACTGAAGAATGAATTACAAGAATCATTAAGGGAGTTCTTTGACAAATAGAGTCTGTCCCAAGTGATTCTGAGATTAGGCAGTTGATAACAATTCATCTTTTACCTTAATTCATGGAGCGAGATATCAATTCATCTCAACACAGTCTTGATGGAGCGATTTTGAGTCTAACTTTGAATCCTGATATCCAAATTCCGAGCTCTGTAACGTGGAATTCTCGTCATCTTCCCCGCTGCCTATGAAGCGCATGTCATTATTGGCAAAGAGGTAGGCAATTTTGATCCTTCTTTCTCTGGATAAGGAAAAAACCCTTATAAGGATAGATGACTCAGCTACCATTCAGGCACCACTCAGACAATAACAGACAAATTCTGCAACTTTTTGTCTCAGTAGATCTGGCAACTAAAGATAAAGTTTTTTGTCTTTTTAAGTGGACGATTCCTCAGTTCAATGCATTGCATTTGTCGCCTTATATCTTGTTAAATGTCATCCACGTCAATAGTGGTACCAGTAAACAAAATTCCACTGCACTTTGCCAGCCATCAGCTGCATAATCATGACTGGAATCTCAACGGCTCACAAAATACTAGTCTCAGCTCTTCAATGCATAAGCTTCCACATGCGGCTTACATTTTCTGTATCCACTTCACCCCTGAGCTTGACTAAGGAAAAGGGGGGGAAAGAACCAGGATGGTGAGCACCAATTCAGCAAAATCGGAGAGGCAGGCCGAACTGCAGGCTTTCGACGATACAAAATTGGGCGTAAAAGGCCTCGTTGATGCTGGAATCGCTGAGCTGCCTACGATATTCAAGCATGATCCTTCCACGATCAATGCAGATCCAGTTTCAGAGTCTGCCAAATTCACCATACCAGTCATAGACTTGGGAGGCCTGAAGGATGCTGATCCACATTCACGAACTGCCGCAGTTGATAAGATCCACTTTGCCTGCTCGGAATGGGGGTTCTTTCAGGTGATCAATCATGGCATCCCGGAGTCGCTCCTGCAGAGAGCAATTAATGGAGTTAGAAAGTTTCACGAGCAGGATAGTGAGGTCAAGAAAGAATTCTACAGTAGGGATGAGGCAAGAAAGGTCATGTATAACACCAACTTCGATCTGTACCAAGCTTCAGCGGCTAATTGGAGGGACAGTTTGTACTGCCTTATGGCTCCTGTGCCTCCACATCCTGAAGATTTGCCGTCCATTTGTAGGTATGCAAAACCATGACATTACCTTTTTCTTCTTTGAATTAACATTACCATGTAGTTTCAGTTTCTCGATTTCTGGCTTTGAGAGTTAAGACAGAAATTGGTAGACCCCGTCTGATCTATGCATCCCATTGTCTGGTTTCATGCTTTCACTGATTCACTGATTCGATTAGGCCAAATGTAGGTCGGATTCATTTGAATCGCTTCAGATCAACACTTGTATGATCACAATCAAAACCACAATATTGCAAGTTATCAAAATCACTATTGCTGTGAATTGTTTGATGTTCTTGAGTCTAGAAAGATGGTTAAAAAGAATCGTCTGATCCATTCATTCATGTGCATATCTATCAACCGCCAGACTGGAAGATGCTCCTGGTTCTAGATGATTAGTAATGCAGATATCTATCTACTAACTTGTGACTTCTTTACACACCTCAAAATTCTATGGCACTGACGATTTTGCAGAGATGTAATAATCGACTATTCAAGAGAAATGAAGCAATTGGGGCTAACCATTTTCGAGTTGATCTCCGAAGCTCTGGGACTAGAATCCAATCATCTCAGAGACATGGGCTGCGCCGATGGACTTTATCTGATAGGCCATTACTACCCACAATGTCCCGAACCAGACTCGACACTGGGAGTCAGCAAGCACACGGACAGCGCCTTTCTCACAATAGTCCTCCAGGATCAAATCGGCGGGCTGCAGGTCCTTCACCAAGGCCAATGGGTCGACATCAATCCCATCCCTGGATCCCTAGTCGTCAACTTGGGAGACATGTCTCAAGCAAGTTCCATACACAAAAAAGATTCAAACTTTATGCCACCAATCTAATCCTGAAGCTATTTCTAATCGAGGGTTTCTGCTTTTTTTCCTTACAGCTGATCACGAACGACAAGTTCAAAAGCGTGTACCATAGAGTGGTGTCGAAGAGCGTCGGACCGAGAATTTCAATCCCTTGCTTCTTCAGAACGCACCATCAATACGAAGGTAGCGAGAGGGTGTATGAGCCGATCAAGGAAATATTGTCGGAAGAGGAGCCGGCGAGGTATAGGGCGACGACGATGCGAGAGTATGTGACCTGCGTCTACTCCATTGGGCTTGACGGCAAGGATAAATTGAGGCATTTCAGGCTGTAACTGTGAGCCGAAATCGTAATGGACGTTTGCGGCTCAATAAGTATTGGGCTTTTGTTTCTTGCGTTAAACATGGTTAAGGTCGTCGGCTTGACTCTTGAGTAGGAAGGGTAATGGGCAGGTCCGGGGCGGGTTTCTTGGTATCCATACTCGCCCCGTGGCAGGTCGGGTCTAGATCGGGTAATTGATTACGGGTCACGGGTCGGGGCAGGTCGACCCAATGTGTATGCAATTTATATGAAAACATTAGAAATATTCGTTATTTTTATTATTAGACTAAGAAAACAAACAATTTATGACAATTGTAGTTAAATTATTGGAGAAATTGAGGTTTTTACTAATTTACAACTTTATTATAGCTAAAATATGATGCAATAAAAGGAAAATTCTAAGTAATTTGACTAAGATTACATTTAATTTAGATAAGAAAGGGTCGAGAATGGGGCGGGTCAGGGCAGGTCGGGTCAATGAGACTACCCATACCCGCCCCGCCCCAAAACAGGTCAAACAGGTCGGGTAAAACGGATCAGGTCGAAATTGTCATCCCTACTCTTGAGCTTGTGACTGTTGTTTTCTGTTGTATTTTTGGAGTGACACGTAACCTTGCTGTTGTCACTCATGACGTAATATTGAATTGTCAGACTTTGTCCAAACGTTACCTGATGTATGTGTGCTGGCCGGTAGGGTTGTGAATGAGTCGAGTCGAGTCGAGTTTTGCCTTGTTCATGTTTAGTTCGTTTATAAACGAGCCGAATTCGAGCTGGGTTGAGTCAAACACGATCCAGCTCATTAATTAAATCTTGACTCATCATTAAGATTGAAAGTTTGACTTGAGTTCAATTCTAAGATAATTTATAAAATAAATACCATAATATTTAAATGTCATATGTAATGCATGTGATTATTTGATCTAGTGTCATTTATGAGACCTTGCTCACATACACTCAATGTATTAATTAAACACCATATGAGGAAATATATACAATTTAATAATTCTATGCACCATTAAACACCATAAATAGATTTTCTCATAAGTTGTAGTCGAGTTGGCTCGCTAGTCACAAGGTTGAGACATCTCATAAGCTCAAAACGAGACAGTTCTTGAGTTGTACTCCACAAGCCACCTAATCGAGCTAGTTCACGAGCCTCACAAGGTTGAGCTCAAGCTCGGCTCGTTTATTAACGAGTCAGACTTTTTTTTTTTAAATCGAACGAGCTTTGTTGAGTTAAAGATCGAGCCGCTCACAAATAGCTTGTTTCATTAGCAACCCTACTGGTCGGACAGGCATTTGAGTATGCAAAGGTCCAAACAGACAAACAATATGTGGATTGGATTACATTGAACTGAACATAATGCAATTTATTTTCTAAGTCAATAAATTTTGTAAGTACTAAGGAAATGGATGAAATTGTCATAAAGATCGAATTAATTTCGAATCACAACGAACCAAATATAGTGAACGTTTGATTCTTAATCCAAAATTTTATTTTACTATTTGATAGCTCCCATAGTTTGGTCCGATCCGGATTCCAGACCGATCCATTGCACACTATACACACTTCCATAAGTTTTCTTTGTCATATGTAGTCATACTCAAAAGACTCCGTACAAAATTTACCAGCAGTTGTTGTGTGCCACCTTACTCCGAAGCGAATATCGTTTGAATATGGTTAACCTAAACTGAACTAGAGGGCTCCTATTTCGATTGGGAAACTGCACCGAAGGCCTTCGACGAGACAAAAGTCGGCGTAAAGGGTTTCATAGATGTCGGAATTGCAAAAATCCGGGCGATATTTCTAAATTTTCCTTCCAAAGTACACACGTTCTGAATTTTTTTTTATCAAAATACACACGATTTATGAAGTAGGAGATAGAAGGAGGTTTTGACTGATATTGGGTCGGATCATCGCATGATTCTTTGGTCTCCTCACCAGCGTTCCCGTCGATCTAAACGGTTGTTCCGCTTTGATGCCCGATGGATACATAATCCTGAAGCCCGTCTCATTATTTATTACTACTGGAATTTGCCTGTTTCGGGTTCTCCCATGTTCTGCCTGCATACTCGACTTAAACGGGTTCGTCATGCTCTTTTTCAATGGGTTATTGCGGGGTCCACCAATTCTCTTTTCCGTATTAATGATCTCACTGCTGAACTTCATCATAAACGTGCTTCTCCAGTCCCCGATTGGGATCATATTCGAAGTTTAGAACGGGATTTAACTCGTGATTGGGATCAAGAGGAGGCGTATTGGCGTGAGCGCTCCCGTGTCACTTGGTTACAGCGTGGGGACCGTAACACTGCTTATTTCCATCGAGTCACCCAGACTCGTCGGGCACACAATTTTTTACCCACTCTTTCGGATCCCACCGACCAAATTCACACAGCTGAGCAGGCAAAGGGGCAGGTTGCGGTGGATCATTATAAATCACTGTTCACTTCTGAAATTGTTCCGGGTGATGCGGTACAGGCAGTTGATCATCTTCATCTTCATCCTCGGTTGAAGATACCATGAATAACATGCTTCTAGCACCGTTTACAGCACAGGAAATTAAGCAAACCGTTTTCCAAATTGGATCCACCAAGGCCCCGGGCTCGGATGGATTCACTGCTCTATTTTTTCACCATTACTGGGATATAGTAGGGCCTTCGGTCATCCAAGCTGTGCAATCCTTCTTTCGTACTGGGCATATTTTGCGATCTTTTAATCATACCTGGTTAACGTTGATTCCCAAAACTCCAAACGCCAGTTCTTGTGCGCATTTACGACCAATTGGACTCTGTCAGGTGTTTTATATGATCATTTCCAAGCTTTTGGCTACCCGCCTTGGATCTATCTTGCCTCAAATTATCTCTTCTTACCAGAATGGGTTTGTCAAAGAGCATTCCATTATCGATAATGTGTTGATCAGTCGGGAGGTTATGAATTATCTTCAGAATAAGCGTACTGGCCGGGAGCGCTTTATGGCTCTTAAGCTTGATATGGAAAAGGCCTACGATCGGATTGAATGGTCTTATTTGTTTCCAGTAATGGAAAATCTTGGCTTTCATTCTTGATGGATTGGCTTTATCCGCAATCGTCTTTCAACGACGTCTATCTCTGTTATGCTGAATGGCAGTGCTTATGGCTATTTCACTCATTCTCGAGGTTTGAGGCAAGGGCTCTCGGCTTTACTTTTTGCGCTTTGCACAGAAGGATTTTCTGCTCTGATTTCCCAGGCTATTTCAAGCGGTGATCTCAAAGGTGTGCGATTTAATCACCATTGCCCAGTTCTTTCATACTTGTTCTTCGCGGATGATGCTTTTTTATTTCTCCGTGCTTCGCCAAGGGACTGTCATTTCCTCCTACATCTTCTTCACCGATATGAGCATATGAGTGGGCAACGGGTTAATCTCTCCAAATCGGCGGTGGTTTTCTCTAAAAACACGCTAACGGGTGAAGTGATAGCATCGTATTTGCACGTGTTTTCACTCTGGTTTCCTGTCCAGTTTAGCTCAAATTGATTGTTCTTTGGCCTATTTTACGCTAGGCTGTGTTGTTTTATCGTATTTCAGGTCCTAGCAAGTAAAGAGGTGCATAGGCGCAAGTTTCGGGTCATTTGGAGGTCAGGTGGCGATTCACAGAACCAATTACGGGCAGCCCCAGCCAAATTACGACCGTAATTGGTCAGGGCATGCCCGTAAAACCAATGCCGAGCCTCTTTTCCCAAGAATTCTTCTCGGCAGTAAAATTACGGGCAAGCATCCACCAAATTACGACCGTAATTAATGAAATACTGGCGGTAATTGTGAAATTACGGGAGTAACTCCTCCTCCATCAGAGTAAAGTGAAACGCGCGTTTTGGGCGATTTACGGGCAGGCCATGATTACGGCCGTAATTCTGCCCGTATTTCGCCCATAATCGGGTTTTTGGAGGTAGATTCGAGCCAAGGAAGGGGCATTCGAGTTTTTAGAGCAAAAGCAGAGTTTTAGAGAGAGAAAGAGCGAAGAACAAACCCTAGGAGCTATTTGGAGTGGATTTCTCACCATTGAAGCCCAGATTGCGTCCCCAGGAGTGAAGATTGACATCCCAGAGCAGTTTTTCCTCATCTTTATGAGTATGACTACTCTGATTTCTGTTTTCCTCTCTCTCTCTATGGAGTAGAACCTTTCTCTCACTTGGGTATGAAGAACCCTAGTTCCTTGTGTTAGGGATTTGATTGTAATGACTTGGGATGATTATACTGTTTGGTTTTAATCGAATGATGCATGTTTATTGAATTGATTGAAGTCTGATCAGCTTTTCTTGATTTCTGATGCAACCTAGGATAGATAGAATCTGATTAGGTTGTTAGAGCCTCTTCATTCGATAGTAGGAGATTGGTTATACGAGAGTTAGCCAGTTTACTGCTTTGTACTGGAATCCAATTCCAGTAGTGGAGTTCTGTGCTTATTGCTTCAGCTTTCTATCCCAGTGAAGACTAGTCGTCTGCCGGGTAGTTAGACTGAGAGGGGTTGGTCAGCTTAAGAGATTCATAGCTACTGTCGGATCTTCCGCAGTCTAATCAACAGTAAATCAACCCAGGGTAATTACAATTGAACCTAACTAAGGAGCTAGGGGGACTCATTCCTGAGTGACTCTTTCCTGCTTTTGAAAGCCGAACCATTTCCTGCTTTCTTACTGCTTTTGCTTTAAAAAACAATCAATCGACTTAGCTGGCTAGATAATAGATAATCACGGAGTAAGCAGTAGATCTGGACCCCGGTTTGATAATAGAACTTGTCTTTTACTGCATTCCCGGACTGCGATTACACTTGGTCGCAGTTTGGTGTTGTGTTTTGGCGTGTCATGAAGCCACCTCCTTTGGAGCATTACTCCAGGTGGGAGCCATTGGTGTTCGGGATCGTTATTTGGGGCTCCCTTCTCTCATTCGTCGCTCTAAGTGTGACACTTTCCGTTATATTGAGGAGGCGGTGGCCAAACGTCTTCAAGGGTGGAAACGTCGTTGTCTCTCTTTGGCTGGATTAGAAACGTTGATTAAGTCTGTTGTTTCAGCTCTACCTGTTTATGCGATGTCTTGCTTCCGCCTCCCAAAGGAGTTGTGTCGTAATCTTAATCGTATGATTGCTCGGTTTTGGTGGGGACAGCAAGGCACTGAACGTCGTCTACCTTGGATTTCGTGGAAAAAATTATGCTTATCAAAAGCCTCTGGGGGGCTGGGCTTTCGGGATTTTTCTACATTCAATCAAGCTTTATTGGCAAAATAGTGCTGGCGTATTCTTCATTCTCCCGAATCGCTTGTTGCTCGTGTGTTGAAGGGTCGGTATTTTGCTCATGGATCTTTTCTTTCAGCCACTACTGGTTCC